TTGATTGATATTGCATTGAGTCTATAGATCATTCTGGGAAAATTTGTCACCTTCATTATGTTGACTCTTTCAATCCATGTATGTGGATCTCTCCCTCTCCACCCCAACCCCCTTTTCTTAGGTGGTCTTTAATTTCTCTTAGTGATGTATTGTGGTTTGCAGTGTAGGGCCTTGCACATCTTTCATTGGATTTACTCCTATGTATTTGACATTGTATGATGTTAGTGTAAGTGACATTTTGCATTTCATTTTTTAAATGTTTGTCACAGGCTTATTGAAATGACCTTTTATGTACATAACCATGTTGAAATGCTTAATGACAGTTTAATATATTTTTTCTAATCTTTATATATATTCTTTATAGGTATAAATATATTTATATTTTTAAAATTTTTTCTGCCCTTATTCTGAATAGCACCTTCGTTACAGTATTGAACATAAATGGTGATAGTAGACATCTTATTCTCAATTTCAAAATAAAAGCATAAACTTTCAATATGTCACCAATAAGAATAATATTTACTATATATTTTATAGCTCTAAAAAATGATTGAAGAAGTTCCTTTTTATTCCCGGTGTACTAAGAGTTTTCTTCCTTTTAAAAACACAAAGGGGGGATGCCTGGGTGGCTCAGTCTGTTAAGTGTCTGCCTTCAGCTCAGGTCATGATCCTAGAGTCCTGGAATTGAGTCCCACATCGGGCTCCTTGCTCAGGGGGGAACCTACTTCTCCCTCTCCCTCTGCCCCTCCCCTGCTTGTGCTCTCTGTCTCTCTCCCTGACAAATAAATAAATAAATAAATAAATAAATAAATATCTTTAAAAACACAAATGGGTTTTGAATTTTACCCACTGCCTTTTTTTGCATCCAAGTATAATTTTTCTCTTCATCTATAATGAGATATATGCCATTGATTGATTTTAATAAGTCCACTTGGTTGTTATATATTATCTTTTTAATATAGCATCATTTTCTATTTATAATATGCATACGTGTGTGTATTTGGAATTTTTGAATCTATGTTCATAAAAAATTGCCTATAATTTTCTTTTTCTGTATTATTCTTGTTATGCTTTATATCACAGTTGTGCTGACTTGTTAAAATGAAGAGATTAAATAAGATTAGTGTTCTTTATTCCTAAAACGTTTGAAAGATTTTTCCAGTAAAACTATCTGACCCTGGAGGGGTTTTTTGTGGGGAGCTTAAAAAAATTTTTTTTTAATTATTGTTTTAAATATTGCTTTGATTAATGTTTTTATTATTTTTATTATTTTAAAAGTTTTTTAAAATTAATTATTTTTTAATTTATAATAGATGAAGGACTATTCAGATTTTGTATTTTTTCTTGGTATCAGTTTGGTAAGTTGTATTTTTTTAAAGACTGTTCATTTCATCCCATTTTTCAAATTTACTGGGGAAAAACATGTCATCTTAATACTTTCTAACAGCTGTGGAGTCCATAGTGTTGTATACTTTTCCATTTTATTGTTTGTGTGGATTTTTCTTCTTGTATTCTTGATCAGTCTCGCTAGAGTTCTATTAAATCTATTAACATTTTATTTTTATTGTGTGTCTTTGTCTATTTCATTAATTTCTACTTTTCAAAAATTTCTTTCCCTAAACTTTATTTGGCTTGATTTGCTATTCTTTCTCTATCTTCCCAAGCTGACTTAGATCATAGATGTTAAACTTTTTTCTTTATTAATGTATACATTAATACTTCAATTTTGCTATAATCATTTATTTTTAGCTACATTCAAAGTATTGATATTTTGTACTTTTATTAATATTCAGTTTTAAATTTTTCTAATTTTTGTTGGAATTTATTTCACCAATGAATTATTTAGATGTATATTCTTGAATTTTCAAGTAGGTGGTGATTTTGTAGGTTTTCCTCCCCTGTTATTATTTTTTTTTAAGATTTTATTTATTTGAGAGAGAGAGAATGAGAGAAATCATGAGAATGAAGAGGATCAGAGGGAGAAGCAGACTCCCTGCTGAGCAGGGAGCCTGATGCGGGACTCGATCCCGGGACTCCAGGATCACGACCTGAGCCAAAGGCAGTCGCTTAACCAACTGAGCCACCCAGGCGCCCTCCCCTGTTATTAATTAATAAATCTAGCTTAATTTCACTGTGGTCAGAAAATATGCTCTGAAGTTTTCAATCTTTGAAGTCTGTTGAGGCTTCCTTGATCCTAAGTATAGTCAATTTGGAAAATGGCCCATGTGCCCTTGAAAAGAATCTGAATTCCATCATTGTTGGATGCATTTGTGTTAGTATGTCAATTATGTCAGTTTTGGTAATTGTGTTTAGATTTTCTCTATCCTTGTTGAAGTTTTGGTCTGCTTGTTCTATCAGCTATTGAAAGAGATATGTTAAAGTTTTTCATTATAACTGTGAATTTGTCTGTTTTTCTTTTAATTCTGTCAATTTTTGCTTTATACACACACACACACACACACACACACACACACACACACACAAACATACCCACAGTTATTGGATTTTAGAATTGTTATATGTTCCTCATGGTTTAATTTCTTTATCAGCCTACCACTTTACTCTTAGTGGTTCTTGCCTTTGAGTCTATTTTGTCTGATGCTAGTATAGCTACACACAGCAATATTTTGGTAAATATTTGCACGGTATACCTCTTTCTATAAACTGCTCTGTGTTCTTATATTTAAGGTTTGTTTTATGAGCAGGATATAATTTTTCACCCAATCTGATAGTCTTTTAATTGAAATATTGTCCATTTACATTTAATATAATTACTCTATATTTGTATTTTTATTTTTCGTCTTATGATTTGTCTTCTATATATACCATTTGTTGTTTTTTCTCTCCTTTCTTGCTTTTATTTTAAATTTTTATTTGATTCTTTTCCCTCTAGTAACTTACTAGTTATGAACTTGTCAATATACATTATTTTACTGTTCTTTTGGTGAAAACCATAGCAATTATAACATACATCGTTGCCTTAGTATAATGAAACTTAGGTTTTTTTTTTAAAGATTTTATTTATTTATTTGACAGAAAGAGACACAGCGAGAGAGGGAACACAAGCAGGGGGAGTGGGAGAAGGAGAAGCAGGCTTCCCGTGGAGCAGGGAGCCTGATGCGGGGCTCGATCCCAGGACCCTGGGACCATGACCTGAGCTGTAGGCAGACGCTTAATGACTGAGCCACCCAGGCACCCCTGAAACTTAGTTTAAGGAAAGTTATTACTTTTACCACTTTCCCAGTAATGCTAGGACCTTAAATACTTTATAACTCCATTTACCCTCTTATGTCTTTCACATTATTTTTGCCATAAAATTATATTCTACATAATTTTAAACTCCACAATATATTGTTAGTATCATTTTATAGAGTTAATACTGGCTTATACATAATTACAGAATTACTCTTTATAGTGTTCTTTATTCCTCCCTGCATTCCTTGTTTCTGCCTTCATTTTTCTTCAAGTAGAAGAATTCTGTCTTAGGGTTGTTTTTAGTGCTATCATGCTGGCAATGAATTCTCTCAATTTTTGCTTGTCTAAAAATGTCTTTATTTCACATTTATTGAAGGAAACTTTTTCTGGTATAGAAATCTAAAGAAGTACTACATCATTTTAATAGTCATCATATTAATAGTCTTACAGATGGGTACAAAATTTATTTAGCTTCAAATAATTTTCATAATTTATAATATTTACATTGATCTTGGTGTTTTAGTCACTCATGGGATTTCTCCTAACATTCCCTTCTTTCTAGCATTCTGTATTGAAAATAGTCCGGAATTTGGAAGGAAAAATACCTTGTGACCTTGATCAAGCCATTTAACTTCTTTGAGCCAGTTTCCTCATATATAAAATGGGAAAAATATAGTAGCTATATGTCACTGGAAATTATGATGTTCTGTTGAGTTATGTATGGAAGTGCTTTGCAATATGTGAAGTACCAATTAGTTAGAATTTTTTAGTGTCATTGTTATTTACTGAAACAAAAACATCTCTTTGTATTCAGTGTATATCCAGAATTCTCTTACCAGTGCACATTTTTATGATACCCGCAAAATGGTTAAAATGATAGTATTCATGTATATGTTTATTTATACTTGCCCCTGCCTTTTATAAGAAAGTAGGTTGGTGTTAGAAGTTACATAAAACTTACTTACACAAGATTGGTTGTAAGTTTATTTTTGATTTTTCAAGCAACTGACACGAAAAGGGAGACCTGGCTGGTTACACAATTCAAAATCCTCATAATACTAAAAATAATCCATTAATTTAGGGGAAGTACAGTTCTTTCTTAGTATACTAAGTTTAGGCAGGAAATTCCCCGTTACTTTTCTTAATGATGCTGAGTTATTTAAAAGATTATTCTGCTGGTTTAGAGGTTACTGATTTGCATGGTTAATCCAAATCAGTGTTGGACTGATCTAGAATTTTAATATTCTGTTTCATATGCTCAAAGGGAGAATTATACATTTTAATGTGAGCTACAAGTAGCTGCTTTTCCACCCTACTTGCAAATGGATTCTATTCAGAAAACTAATACAGAATGCCAGTTTCCTTTTCAAAATGCTTGGATACACATTTGAGGGAAGGTTAGGCTGATAAATTAAAATTTTAGTTTGCATATATAGTATTAACAAAACTGCCTTAGAAAGATATTTAGCTGTATTTTATTTTTCCTTCATAGAGGTTCCTTACTACGTTGATCAAATGTTTATTTGCCCTCCTGTATGCAGACATATTCCTGTTGTTTTGTTTCTTCTCTGACAAAAAGTGGTCATTCAGACTTACATTTTTGTAGGGTTTTTTTTTTTCATTTTTCCCTCTTTATTTATTAAACATATTTTTAAATGGAAACGAAAGTACAGAACTGAAGCTTTTAAACAAACAATCAAAGGGTATGTTAGTGTCTCACAAGCAATGCCATGACACATCTGAGGTTTTGTATGGTGATCAAATTTAAAATAGGACATATTTAAATTCTTTGATTTTGTCTTTAGGTCTCTGGCATGCATTTTATATGAGATGTGCTGCATGAATCATGCATTCACTGGCTCCAATTTCTTGTCCATTGTTTTAAAAATTGTTGAAGGTGACACACCTTCTCTCCCCAAGAGATATCCAAGAGAACTGAATGCCATCATGGAACGGTATGGAAAGAAATATATTGTCACAGAAGCAATTTTAAATTGTACTTATGTTTTAGTTCATTTGAAAAATAATTTTCTTCTTAAACATTACAGCATGTTGAACAAGAGTCCTTCACTGAGACCTTCTGCAATGGAAATTTTAAAAATCCCTTACATTGATGAACAACTACAGGTATTTCAAATGAAACGGATACTGGGAAACATGTATTAGCATTTATATACATTCGAGGACTTGAAGATAGGCTATGGGAATAAGATGCATAAAGAATCAGTCAGAAAAGAGAGAAACAAGATTTTTTTTTTTTTAAAGCTGAAGGAAATTATTAGTTGAACAATCTCTTTGCAAAAGAAGGTGTGTTAACTCCAGTTCCCCGAAGCCCCAGATATGAGAAGTTAGGGTTGTAATATTCTGCCTAAACTTTGTAAGCTCTTGGCTTACAAATCTTAAATATATACTTTGTAAATATATCCCTGCTAGGACAAGAACATACCACTAATAATGCTAAAATCTGGGGTTTTCGCTGAGCCTTTATTATGCCACTCCTTTCTTATATATCTTAATCATACTTTTTATTGATTAGGTGAGTTTGTTTTCCTGTAGATTAGAAATTTTGATGCAGAGAATCTATCTCTGGTGGTAAGAAAAAAGCAAACGGTACCTTCTTAGAAGATTTTTTGTTTTGTTTTTTTAACTTAGGCTTTTACAAATACCTCAGGCAAATTTCCTTGAGTTTTATGACTAGTTTTAAGGGGACCCACAAAGCAGTCATTCACCTTCAAAGATGGGCACACTTTTTTGTCCACGTCCAGTTCTAAGTTGGCAGGAAACAAGGATGCTGACTTGATGTGTCTGCATCAGTTGAGTGCTGAGCACAGTGCTGGAGGTGCTGAAAGGAAAGGAACAGCCATGGCTCCCGTCCTTTTGCAACTTGACTGCTAGTAAGAGGACCCAGTACCCAAGAAAGAGTAATTATACATTATCAGGAGCACTAGGAAGAAAGCTCACAGAATGCTGTAAAATAAGGGAAGGGAATAATGGCCTTTGTGGTCAAAGAAAGAGTAGGTGATGGTTCTCTACCAGTGAGATGGTGAGAAGCAGCCAGACATGTAAAGAGCCTGAGAGAGGGTTGGAACCACAGGGAATTAGCTGAGACAAAGCCCCGGATCAGGTTATGTTTCTAGATGGAGACATAGAGGGGAGGGTTCTTAGGCAAGAATGTGCGCTCTGGAGGAGCCCCTAAAGAAGTAGGGTAATAAGCAGTACTGGAGGGGAGGAGGCCAGAAGCTCCCTGGTACTTTGAGTTCTCCCTGTGTGTAGCTTTCCCGATGCATAGCCAGCTCCACTAGCCCAAGGGCAGGCCTCTGAAAAAAAGGCACAGGTGCTAACTGTTGGGATCAAAACCACACTGAGGGGGCTATGAGCAGACCAAAAAAAAGTTAAAAGGAATCCAAGGAGATCTGATGGGAAAAGGGTAAGGCAAGTGAGGCATTTGCCCTGAGACAAAATTAGAGAGGACACCAAAAACTCAGTAATCAGGATAAATAACATTTTATTGCAATGTTTAAAAAAATCCAAATTAATGCTAAAAATCCATGGTAACAAAATATCAAAAGTTCACAAACAGCATCCAACAGGGCTAGGATTAGGGTGATGGAAGTGAGGTAAAATGGTGCAGGTTCAGGGTTGGATCTTGTCTTTATTTAAACTTTTATTTATTTTCTTTTTTTTTAATTCCAGTATAATTAAAATACAGTTAACAGTTATGTTAGTTTCAGGTGTACACTAAAGTGGTTCACCAGTTCTATACATGACTCAGTGCTCATCGTAAGTGTAGTCTTAATTCCCTTCCCCTCTTTTACCCATCCCCTCACCTGCCTGGCAACCACCAATTTGTTCTCTATAGTTAAGAGTCTGTTTTTTGTTTGTCTCTTTTTTCATTTGTCCATTTGTTTTGTTTCTTAAATTCCACATATGAGTGAGATCACATGGTATTTGTCTTCCTCTGACTTATTTCACTAGCATTATACCTTCTAGATCCATCCATGTTATTGCAAATGGCAAGATTCAAACATTTCATATTATATTCTCCATGGCTTTTTGGTTTTTTTTTTTTTTTATATTGCTTTAAAATATGACTTATCTTGGTCACTGAGTCTTTTGGTGCCCCTTCAGTTTTACACCTGAGGCGAGTGCCTCACTTGTCCCAGCCTAGTCCTGGCTCTGGGAGTGGGGACACTGTCCAATACTGGCAGAGACGGGGAAGAGCTTGTTTGTTCTTGGAGCTAAGGGGGGGCCTGCCTGTGGTGGGTAGCAGGGAGTGAGAGAACAGGCAGAGAGTGCCAGATGAAATTGGAGAAGCAGGCAGGAGCCTGACCCCCCACGACCTTGCTACATAAGCTACCCTGCAATTTTTTGTAACCCTTTTTGCAATTTTTTGTAACCCTTTTTCGAAGGAAAAGTGGTTACCAGTGGGTTTTGTTTTCAAGCTCTCAGGCATGGTCAATAACACTGCACATCAGAAAAGGCCCCTGGTAGTCGGCTGCCCTTTCATCCCTGAAGAGGAGTATTTAAAGTGCGACAGGCTTGTTCTTTTTTTCAGCACCTGTTGTGTAGATACTCAGAAATGACTCTGAAAGACAAGAATTTGAATTGTCAGAAGGAGGCTGCTCAGATAATTAATGCCATGTAAGTAATTGCTTTGTTTTTAAAAAGCCCATTGAGCATATTCTTAAATGCATTTATCTTTAAAAATCTATTAGTGCTAAGCTGACTGCACAGGGTTTCCTAGAATTCACTTAAGTCTTGCCAAGAAATTAAGGAGCTTCAGCAAAGCCCCTTTGCCCCAGGTGGTAGTAAATTGAAATTATAAAAGTTTTAACAATTGCACACCTTACAGATCTGCAGGGTAGCTCTGCAGTTGCCTTGTAAGTATGTAGAGAAATTAATATCTCAAACATTTAGTGATAGTTATGCTAATGAACCTTCCATATTAAGCATAGATAGTTTTCACATGTTGTTTGTTTAACAGGAACTGGCAGAGTATCTATTGAGAAGACAACACTGTGAAGTCCTAGAACAATGGAAAATAGCCCAATTTACTTCCTTGAGATATACATATGAAGTCGAGAATGTCTTTTTCACAAACATAATTATTTCTTGACGTAACTTCTCTCTCCTATCTCATTCAAAATTCCTGTGCTATAACATACAAGAGCCTAGAATACTAGGTGACTTCAGAACAGCCATGTATAGCTGTGCAGGCTGTGGACTGCACAACTCAAGAGGTTATATAAAGACCAAATCTATAATTTTGCTGAGGAACTCTCTATGTAATTTTATGAGGACCCTATGAAAATGGCAGTCCCTCCCCAGAGCTGTGCAAGGCAGTAGGTGAGAACAGTAGCCTTCGTTAGCCTAATCTTCAAGGCCAAATAACAGTATGCTTCTCTGAAACTCAGTCCAGTGGTTTCTCAAGTGAACTATGTTTGTTTTCCAATTTCACATTCAAACTGAGGAAACTGGTTCATCAAAGGTACTCAGTCTTCGTTTAATGCATGATCTCCAGTTAAAATACCCTGCACCTCAGGGACTAATGTTTGAGGCATGCTCCTATAACCTAATTTCCTTAGGTTGCTAATTATTCTTTCAAGATGCCTGGAATTCCAATTTTATTTTATTTAAACTGAGATGTGAGAGTAGGAAAATACTAGGCTAATCTTAGCTATCATTTTGTACTGCAGTTGTGATTCCATTTACCTGACAGTGCTTACAGTTAAAGTGTGCCAGAATCTGATCGCTTGTATGGTCTTCCACATTATGAAATATTGGTTTCAAATTGTCACTGTTTTTTTTTTCCCCCATGAACTATGACTGTGTTTCAAGGAGCTCTGTTTGATCTTACAGAATAAGGGGTGTATATTCCAGAAAATCATGTGTCCCCTAGAGGCTGTGGACTGTATTCCAGAGGGATGAGAGCTGCTACAAATGGTCATTACAATTACACGATTATTACAAAATAATAAAGATTAGAGTGGGAATGAGATGAAATGGAGACTTCTCCTAGTATTTTGTAAGGAGGGAGCTGAGTGCAAAAGGCATTCTGCAATATTGGCCCTAACCAAGTCAAGCACAGAAACAATTATCATTGGGGATATGGTTGCAGACCTTTAATACATGAGTAATGTAAGCACGTTTCTTTAACTGAAGAAAGAGCCTCTTTTATTTTTTTTAAGTTTTTAAAAATATTTTATTTTTTGAGAGAGAGACAGTGAGGGAGGGAACACAAGCAGGGGGAGTGGGAGAGGGAGAAACAGACTCCCTGCTTAGCAGGGAGCCCAATGCGGGGCTCGATCCCAGGATCCTGGGATCATGACCTGAGCCGAAGGCAGACGCTTAACAACTGAGCCACCCAGGAGCCCCAAGAAAGAGGCTCTTAAATAACAATTTTAACTAATATCCTTTGGGGTGCTTGGCACCGTTATAAGCACTTTACATGAATTAACTCATTTAAACTCACAAGAACCCTATGAATTAGGTACTATTATTATCTATTATTATTATTATTTTAATGATCATAGGGAGCTTAAATAACTTGCCCAAGGACATATACATGTAACCTGGGAGCTAGGGTTCAAACACAGACAATGTTATTAACCTGTGTGATAACCACTGTGCCATGCTTACCTGCTGTATGAAGCATAGAATATACAACATATTCAACAAAATTTAACTATTACAAGACTACCGTTTGGGTTCCTTTGATGTGTCAGACACTGTACATACATTGTTTCATATAATACTAAAGCCTGTTCTTTACAGATGAGAAAATGGAGCTTCAGAGAGGTTCAGTAACTTGCCCAAGGCTACAGAGCTAATTGTGTGGTAGAGATGGGGTTCAAACCCTGCCTGATTCCAAACATTAAATCCTATCCGCAGGGTTGAATTAGTCTGCCAGTCCATTTACTCCTTGATGGCCAAGATCCTAATTTGTCTTACATTATGAAAACCAGTCATAGGCCATGAAATGAGCAGAAATTTGGAAAGCACATAATTTGTTTTTAAACAAAAGTCTAATTTGAAAAATATTACCAATTAACCACAGTCCTGGTTGGCTCATTACCTACCCTGAGTTTATTAGTTTTTGCCTGGTCTGTCTCGAGATGCTTTCCCCTTCTCAGTAGTGTAATGATACTTCTGTAAAATATTTGTTTAATTTTTCTGAGCATGTTTGGGATGAGTTGCATGCGGGGGATCTTTATTATTTATAGGCAAAAAAAGATCCACCTGCAGACTCTGCGGGCGCTGTCTGAAGTGCAGAAAATGACACCAAGAGAAAGGATGCGGCTGAGGAAGCTCCAGGCAGCTGATGAGAAAGGCCAGAAGCTGAAGTAAGCTGTCTTTCCTTAAGGTACCCTGCGCTCTGGCCACTGCCCAGGGCTCTGAAGAAATTGACTGGAGAAAAGCAGAAGCAAAAACAAGAAAGCAAAATGCACATATGCATTATATATTTCTTTGTTTCTTCACTCACTCATCCCCATAGATGGTTATCGGATGCCGGCCACTATTAATGTCAGGCCTTCAGTCTTGTGTGCAAAGAAAGATTGAATGTCAGGGAGGTTTTTAATGATGAAAACATAGAGTCAGCCTCCAAATGAAGCCTTGTTACTGCTGACACAACCTGCATATACCCCAGTGAGAGGGTGAAAAGAGTGGCTTCACTATGGGTCCTCATTCCCCAGATGTTTGCTGTACCCCCTCTGCCAGGAGACCTAGCTGGTCTATAGTGAGAAGAATGTACCGGCAGGAAATTGTGGGCTTTAGAAAGCAGACTGGAAGCAGCTCTGCTCTGTCAAGTGAAGCCCTTTGCTCTGGGCAACCCTGCTGGTAATTCAAGTATTTACAGGAAAAGGGGAGATTCCAAAGAGCCCTAGACTCCCAGTTTCTCGAAGACAGATTTTTCAGTTGGTAGGTTATCCAGTCTCCTAATTTTTCTTCTTTCTTTCTCTGCCAACTTTTTGGTAGCTTAGAAGCCCCAACTAAGAACTAGAGAGACAGAAAAGACCTGAAACTCAAATCTGTTCATTTTGTGACCTTGGTAACATATCTGAAAAAGAATTTGGAGGTATTCTTGCACTTACAGTACATACCATTTGGAACCAAGTAAGAATCTGTGAGACTACTTCTTTTCCCTTAACTCATGCTTTCTGTAATCAATGTGGAAAAAGATTTCTGTCAAAGTGCACCATGGGCAATCGTGTGCTGGTAAATGTTTAACAACCACCACCTCTGGGTTTGTGGGGCTGGAGGGTGTAAATGTTCCTGCAATGGCCAATTTCAAGCTACCAATGTGATATCATCCAATGTTCAGTTAGAAGATATGTACACAGTCTGCTCTTGGGAACAAGTACAAGCTGGTTTCTGCAAACCACTGCACCACTCAGTGTGGGTTTGACTGAGAAAATATATTTACATAAATTGCTTGAGCCATTGTATCAACTAACAGTCCTGGATCTATTTCTGAGGCCTCAGGAATAGCATTATTTCTGGGGTGCCATGACTCTTGTCATTGAGGGTTTAAAAGGAAAATTAAATCTGACAGGAACAAATCAAAAAGGCAATTTAATAACTTACATGCACATTACAAATTATATTTCAGATTAAAACTGTTTTTTATACACAAAGAAAGTCATAGATCTTCCATATGACCTTCAATATGTTTATTATTTAAAGGCAATGGTTATAAATAAAGTTTGGTCTTAATTTTATGAATGAATTGCTTTGGAATTGTTTTTGATCATTATTTCTAGAATTTGAGCACAGTCGTGTGTTTTAGCTAGAAAACGACTCTATTGTCAGAAGGGATGTAATGTACCCACTTTATAAACAAAATTTGACTACAGGGATATTCAGTGACTTTTCAAAAAATCTAAATCTAAATTAGCACACAAGTAATCACAAGAACTTAAATCTTTCTTCCGGCTTAGTAGCAAGTCTATGACATTTACCTCTTCTATACTAGACAAGACAAAATGTGTTGGAGAAAAATTCCCCTTCACAGTGGCTCTCAAGTTCTTTCAGTAAATTCTTTGAAATCTAGCTCTCTTCTCCTTGTTTGTGGGTTTATTCATCCTGAGAGCGGTAATTGAGTTATTAGTACATGTTGAGCATGGTCTGGGTATTGGTGACACACACCCTTGCCATCACAGAGAATGTGCAGAGGTCCAGACTGCCTTCTTTTGCCTCAGAGTCCCACAGATCCTCACGAGGAATCTGACGTGATAAGAATTCTGTGTTTTTAATATGTGTCAACCCCTAGTGTAATCACCTGGTAGAAACTGGGATTTTTTTCTGGAATGTTCAGGGACCCCTGCTTCTAAGAAATGTTATCCCCGGAAATTAGAAAATGAGAAGTACAGACATGCTAATGTTTTGTTTTATAAAACCTAAATAACTTTATTCTTGAAATTGCCATATGGCAAATGTGTGTATATCTAATTCTGAATTTCAGTGATGCATTTTAGGGATCCTAAGGATGGATAAGGAACCAGAGCATCATCATGTGTGCTTTAAAAGAGAATCCAGTGAGTGCTACACTGCATTTACCTTGATGAGGGAGAGACCCGTTGGCCTGGCTTCTCAACACCCCAGTTTGCCTGTTGAAACAGGGATCACACTTACCTGCATAATATAGATATGGCTTTAGCAAAATGCAGCTGTTTTCTACACTCACTTTAAATTTGCAGGAAGCTTGCAGAAGAAAAGTATGAAGAAAATAACAAAAGAATGCAAGAGTTGAGATCTCGGAACTCTGAGCAGCTAACTGTTGATATACTCCATGTAAGTGCTCTCTTGTTTTAAATGTTACATCAGACCTTTAATTGCTTAGATTCATCACATTCATGTGGCCAGTCAGGTAGGAAAAGGGACATAGGGGGAAAAAAGAGCATCCAGACCAATTTTGCCCTATTTAGGGTGGAGGTACTGGGGTTCATTTTAGCATATAGGCCAATGGTTAGTGATGACACTAATTCAGAGCATCTGTACTTAGAGATGGATCAATACATTGATCCAAAAACATCAAGTGCCTACTGTGTACAAGAAAACTCAATCAGCATGGAATGAACAATTGGATGAGTAAAATTATGACTTTGCAGAACAAATGCGTGTATATCTAATTTTGAATTTCAGCTGTGCTATTTTTGCATTACCTCTTAATCCATTGTTCTCGTTCTGTCTTATTTTTTGTTCTTTCCCTTTTTATTTTCTGTCTCCTATCTATATCATTGTGCATTGTGTTAATAACCCCTTTCGAACTCTGAATAATTACCTTGGATGTCCAATAATACATAGGGTTGCGGAGTCACATGAAATGGACCCTGAATCATTTCTTCAGCATCCCAAGCCCCTCAGTAGCAAATACATTTTCTTTAATGGTTAAAAACATCTTCATGAGCCATGGTATAGGCTCTGATACTTAAGGAAGTCTTTCTTCAGGATCATATTTGGACAATAGACATCAACCCCAACTTCCTAGCTCTTCTGGTAAAAGCGACATGGGAAGGAGTCATTTTTATGGAGAACTTTAGGTCTCAAATTCTGGTTGTTCATTCACTGGGGAATCTCTGTATCTGAAGGAGATTCTTTTTCTTTGGCAGGAAGAGCCAAGCCCCCCTGAGGCTGTCGGGCTGATCTCTGAAGTCTGGGGACACTCATTCTGCTGTAGCTCAGTGAACAGAGAGCTCCAAACCCTGGGGCATTGCAGGAGCCCCCAGCAAAGCTCACTTTCAGCCAGGCAGAGCAGAGCTTAGGGTCACTTGTTTTCTGCCTCCATCTGAGAGGTAACCCACCTTTCTCAATTATTCAATGGTTGTGAGTGTTGTCGATTTCTGAAAACCCAAAGTTGGACGAGATGGAGGGGTCCCACCTTCTCTGACCTTAAGAGTATCTCTTTCTTGGACCCTTTAGCAGATAATGTGGGGACACTGGTGACATGTGCTCAATCCCACTTGCCCCCCTCTCTGCTCATCTCCCACCCCGTTAAGTAAAGCCAGCTGTGGGATCTGTTGTGGGTCCCAGAGACATGGAAGATGGGATCATTCCCATTCATAGAACCTGGTGAATGGAAACGCTTGGCTCTTGCAGATGATATCCTCTAGCTGGTTCAGTCTTGCAGACAGGGTTGCTCGGCAATCCCTCCAATCCGCCCCCCCCCAGGTATCTTGCCCTGTTTTATGCAATTATATCAGCCATTTCCATCTTGGCCCCTCATTAGTATCCCACCTTCTCACTTTCAAATGTCACTTTCTCTTTAGGCAAATCCTCTTTGACCTCACAGGTCCACAATCGACTGGCTCTTCTCTAAATTCTTATAGCTTACAGCAATGCTTGTCAAACTTCAAAATTCACCCAAATCACCTATTGGTTTTGTTAAAAGGCAGATTCTGATTTGGCTGGTCTGGGGTGGGGCTTGGGATGCTGAATTTTTAACAAGCTCCCTGGTGATTCTGAGGCTGCTTATCCAGGACCACACTCTGATTAATAATGGACAGAAATTGAGGCTCTTGAAAGCCATTCACCTTCAGATGTAGTAAGACCTGGAAAAGCCACCGATTAACAGACTTTCTTATAGACTCTTTAGGAAAAAAGCATTTCATGGGGTTGGAAGTAAAGGAAAAGTGACCTGGACTTTCTTGTTCGCCCCAGGAGAAGGATGAAGAGAGGAGGCTAGGCTAGGCAAGAGACACGGTTAATCATATTCACAGGCACAGAGTGAGGCAGGTTTAATGATATTCAAAGAACAAAGGGAAGCCAGACACTGCGGAGGGACTGAAGGGTTTTAAACATCTCAAGAAAAGGCATCAATGAGCTGGAAAAGAGGAAATAAAATGTAAGAAAGAAATTGGATTAATCAGATGCAAGAAGCTAAAGAAAAACGTGAAGAGGAGTAAAGGAAGAAAGAGGAAAAGGCTCCTATCTCTGCTCATACACATATTTATGATTTAATTTCTTCCTGATTTTGCTGGGGCTCGGTTCTCTGGTTCTTACTCCTTCTCTCTTGCCAGCTGATGCAAAATGCTTTATATTTCAAAAGCAGTTGTATGAGATAAAATCAGAGTTAGGGGAGAAAATGGGCTGGCTCTGTCATTTCTTAAACATGTTATAAAAATTCTTTGAGGCCTTTAGAATGGCTTGTTTTACCAGATCCTAACTAACAGGGCCTTTTATTTTGGCAGGCATTTTCTGCTTGGCTGAATTTGGGCTTTGAAATCACCACCTAGTTGAACGTGGAATCATGTTAGGCACCATTTCCTTAAAGGGTGGTAGCTTTAAAACAACTAGAATCCATAATACACTGGATAAGCCCGGTCTTTCTTTTATCTTGTGGCACTTGTAGTTGTGATGGTACCAAAACTGGGTTTCTGTGAGAAGTGTGTAACTGATCAGGTCTCCATATATGAAATAGTAAAGGGGATCAAAGATCAGAGCAAATCCTTTCTAAGAGAAGCAATTATAACAATTCTGTCTGTTCTCTTCAGAGAACCTCAGCAAATCAAAGCCAATTGAAGGTCCAAATTCTTATTTTCCAATAATTTCTGAAGTAGAAGTGAAAACACACTTCATGCAATCTCTTCTTTGTTCTTAAGGTTGCCTGTGCACTGTCAGTGATCCTTTGAAATTTGGAACCAATTTCACCTCCTACAGCAATTATACAGTGCAAAAACTGGACTTCTTAAAAAATATTTAATGACTGTATTTTCACAAATGCTGTTATGTACCACAGTGTGGCATGGCTTTATTTCACTTATTCATTAAGATGAGTTTGAGCTTTCCCTTCTGTTTTTAATAAGAAGACCCTCTTGGTGTAGTTCTCCATGAAAACCACTTATCAAGGAAAATAGGTCAGTTCAACATTAGCTCTAGGTTGCAAACACACACACACACAACAGAAAAAAACAAAATGATCTATTGAAATACCTACTGATATATTTGAGAGATTTAACTTTTGCTTTTATTTGAAGTGTGAGTTCTTTCATGTGTCCTCGTAGATCTCTTTCTTTAGGAAGCTGGAGCACTGGAGCAGAATCACAGCACTGTTAAAGCTAGATGAGAACTTGGAAGTCATCCAGGCCAACAGCTCCACTTCTGAGATGAGGAACCGAGCAGGGCTGGACTAGGGGGAGGTGGGTGTGGGACCCTGGATGCAGAATTACAGGGGGTATTTGTTCTTAGCTGTGGATCACTCCTGCTCTTGCATGAGCTGGAAAGTGAATACCTCCATTGTGCACCTGGGCATTCCTCCTGCCCCACCCTAGTCATGGCCCTGAAACGGATGCCATGGAAGGTTCAGGTCACCTGCTGAGTTGGTTCAAGGCTGCTTCTCTTCTCCCAGGCTGCCTTTCTGAAATTTGAAAGTGGTATCATGTTTAAGGGAGAGGATTTGACAGATTTTTATTTCCAAATAGTCTTCTAAACAATAGTTTCATTTGTGGTAATCCTGTTTCCTTCTATCAGCTTCTCATGAACTGTTAATTACCTTCCACAAGGAATTTGATGACCTGACTTCAGAGAACCTGCCTGAGTCTCAGCCCATTCCTTCTTTGGACCTTGACCCACTTGAGTCAAGTATAGAAGATCATGGTATGACTGACCTTGGAGATCATGGTATGAGTTTGCGTCAGTATTCGGAAGGGTTGGCACATGGGTTGGTGTGGCTGACCCTCTAGTAGGCCTGGCTGGCCTCTGAGAAAAGCCTTGGATGGATGTAACCACCTTCCATCAGTTTGCCAGAGCTGAGCTGGGACCAGGATAAAAAGCAGAGAAGCCAAGGGATTTGTCTGTTCTCTTCTATCTTCTTTGTAATAGATGAAGATGAGTTAGAAACTCACACCAGGTGAGAAACCTCTTCTACATGAGTTAAACAATGTCATCATTAACTGACTCTGGAATAGTGTAGGACTGTGAATGCTCTGAAGTACTGTTTCCCTCTTCTAGAAGTGATTTCCCTGGCCTTCATAAATTTAAAGTGAATAAATGAAGTCAGGCTTTGGAAAATCAACCATATGGATGTGCAATCATTGCCAGAAGCGAAGTGCTCAGAGCTGTAACTCAAATGGGAGAGAGAGAGCATAGCTTAATGGTTGAAAACATGAATTTTGGAGTCAAAAGCTGCCCCTATGAGGGGACAGCTTCATCTTTGTAGATCTCAGTTTCCTTATCTATGAAACAAGAACAGTACCTCCTTTAGGAGTTGTGGAAAGCAAATGAGAGTAGGCATGTGATGTGCTCTTGCCTCAGTGCCCAACATACAGTAAAAGCCAAAGAAAGGGGAACAATTTATGACCCCAGGAGAGAGGGTTATGACCATGGGGGCCATCTCAGGCTTGTACCACCCTCCCCAGTGCCTGGGACAAAGTGCCAGGAATAGTATAGGCACTCGATAAATATATCTTGAATAAATGAATGAATGATATGTTAGTCTGGCCCTCTGAGAAGCAGATGTCAAGATGGGAACAAAAGTGCAAGGATATTATTAGGGAAATTATTAGGAAAATATCTGCATAAAAGACATTAGGAAAGGAGCTGGAAAAGCCTGAACCATCAGACCATGATTCAAGTCATGTTCCAAATGAAAAGAGAGAGGTTTGGTGGATGTGTACTAGTCTGCTAGGCAAACAGAGGCAACCAAGACATCAGGAAGTCTTTAAGCAAAGTCAGCCATCAGGGGGGCTTGCCTTAGTATCCCTGCTATACTTTAGCAGTGGTAGTAGCCTCTGAGAGAATACAGGGATGGATTCCAGAACACAGCCCTGGGGCCCTTGACCAATTATGCTCTTTGTTGTGGGAGGTCTTTCAGGTGTGTCCTCAGGGCTGCACAATGGTGTAACAACTCTCTTGGGCAGTAGTTGAGTCCTCTTTGCAAACTGAGAGTGAAAGTAGTGAAATTTGGATTGACTGGTCATCTCAGCCCGAATTTGCATTTGATGTCTTCCTGACACAGCTTTTAGAACTTGTGCTGCCTCCTTCACCTGTAAGGAAACTAGCACCTGAAGCTCTTTAGGTTGGCATTTGCCAACTTTTAAAATGGTGTTGTGGAAGCCATCTGGTAACAGGTGTTATTGACAAACAAATATGTATATCAGACGGATTTGCATCTTAGAGCCTTTTTAGGTATTTCTTTAATATATTGTTATTTTCCAAAGGTAAAACTTAGAAGCACAGAAATATCCCATGGGCCTTTCTTTCTAAAAATATAAAACTGAGAGTTAGGCTATTGGGTGATGTGGATGACTTGTGCTTTACTGTAAGGCAGAGCCATCCCTGTGTATAAAGAGGAAGCCCCAGAACAGGATATTGAGTGGGTGGTCTAGGATCAAGAGGTCTGGGCCCATGAGTGGGTTTCTTCATTTCTCAGTATCTTCATTATAATGTGGCATCATGCTAGGACCTGGTTCCTAGGATGGTTGGAAGGAACTCCCTGAGACAGTGGGTAACATGGCTTATCACCAATGCCTGACATGGCATAGCTACTTAATATATGTTAGCTATTGGGGCACCTGGGTAGCTCAGTAGGTTAAGCTTTCGACTCTTGATTTCAGCTCAGGTCATGATCTCAGGGTCCTGGGATTGAGCCCCACATTGCTTCAGGCTCCCAGGTCAGGAGGGAGTCTTTTTCTCCCTCTCCTTCTGCCTCTCCCCACTGCTTGTGCTCTCTTTTTCAAATAAATAAATATATAAAAAAATAGATGTTAGCTATTGCAATTAGGCATTGAGTAAATGTTTTTTGATTCCTGCTGAACCGAACAGGCAGGTCCTATTAAAAATAAAGGGAAAAAATATTAAAAAAAAAAAAAAAAAGAGGTCTGGGCCCAGCCTCTGGGTCTCAAGTAGAAAAGTACTTACTACTCATTTCATAATGAGAAACCAATGACATTATGTAATTTGCTCAAGAACTCAAAAGTGCCTGCTTTCTAGAGGAGCACCCTTTCCATTTTCCCCAAAGTGTGTGCATTTGGAGGGTGTGGGTAGGAGCAATAGATTCTCAGGAAGCAGACAAATGAGTTGGACTTTCAAAAGGCAGAGTCTTTGTGGGACTCTTGCTAATTTTTGTGAACTGTAGTAGTCAAATTACTCCTAAGCTAGCCCTGACCACAGGTTGCACCTGCTACCAGGAGACTCACGCTGATGTCCTCCTTTGTCTTTTGTCAAGGGGGTTTCAATATGGTAGACCAGAAATTGATTTACCAGCCAAACTGGAAATGGTCAAATCTACTCCTTTGACCACCTTATTTATGCTATAAGAAAACACTACTTAGGTCTCCCATAATAAGCCGTCAGATCCAAAAAACACATTATGGTTTTAGTTGGGCCAAATGCCTTGTAAAATACGTTAAACATTCCCCTTATTACTTCCTTCCTGTGAATTTATATTTTTCTAAATTGGAAAGGGAGACCTAGAACTATGAAAACATAACCTTTGGGTTGATGATTGATTGGACTTATGGGCCACTTCAAGATTATTAGTGATCATAAAGCTGTATCATGAAATTTTGAGATATGAGACTTTAATTTGTTGATGAATTCTGAAGTGGTTATTTTCCCCATTCTCTTTGCCTTTTAGAAGATTTGACTCCAAACTTTTAGCACCCAGAGGAAGTTTTATTTATTTTTCATCTAGCATGTATATGTAAAATAAAATTACACAGTCTTTTTTTGAAGCTTCTACACCAAATGTTTAATCAGTCTTTGATGTTGAATTGGAAAATTCCCTCTGGGATGTGAGGAGTTAGTTGCAGAGAAGGAAAACTGAGTAAGACGTTATTTACATTTGATATGCATTTCGTTGACTACCACTGATTTAACCTAGCCAAAGTCATGGATAACCATTATAATCAAATGAGAAAGCACAACTAGAACATTAAAGAAATTATCCCTATCCCTAACCCCATGCATGTGATACTGATGATTTCTTGCACATTAATTTCTGCCAGGAATGTCATTGCATTTAGCTTTATTTTCAGCAGCTCCCTGTTGAGTTGCAGAATAGGGTTTCTTGCAAAGCTGGAATAGCTTGAGGCTCATGAGCTTGGTGCGGACAGAGCATGGCTCTCAATCCACCTGTTCAGATGATAAAGCTTCACTAGGGTAGGCCGTGGCTGCCTGCCCATGGCCTGACCAGTTGTCACTTAAGTACCCTTTCAGCTACTCCTTGAGCAAGTCCCGAGCCCCTTCCCTGTGCTCAGAGAAAGCTCTGACCTCAGGGGGCGTTGTCCTTTGCTTGCCCATAAGAAGTCCGCATGCCCTTTGTGGCTGTGGCCTGCTCTGTGACTTATGGTGTCCTCTCTTCCCTTTAAATGTCCAAGTGGAAATAAAGTGATTTGAAATCTGTTAGACAATGATATATTTTTATTGTTTTAATTTTAAAAAATGAAAACACTGACTCTGCAATTCTACCTCTAGATAATTACCTAAGAGAAAGGAAAGCATGTCTCCAAGATGATCTGTACACAAATGTTCTTAGCAGTTTTATTCGTGGTACCAAAAATTAGAAATAAGTGTCAACCAACAGATGAATGGGTAAATAATGGTTTATCCATACAATGTAATACTTCTTGGCAATGAAAAGGAACAAAATATCAATACATACAACAATATGGATGAATACCAAAAATACTGTGCTGAGTGAGAGAGGCCACAAACAAAGGAGTTCATATTGAATGATTGCATTTCTGTGAAGTTCTAGAACCAGCAGCACTTATCTGTAGTGATAGCAATGAGGCCAGTGGTTGTCTGGGAATTAGGAATTGTCTCAAAGGGCACAAGGGAATCTTTTGTGGTGATGGAAAAAGTCGATACCTTGATTGTGGTGGTGGTTTGCCCTGATGTATATATTTGTTAAAACTCGCTGAGTTCTGTGCTTTAAATGAGTGCATTTTATTGTCTATCAATTATACCTCAATAAAGTTGATAAATAAAAAGAACTTTGCTAAGATATCCAGAAAAAAGAAGAAAGGAAAAAAAACCATTAAGAGTAATGCCTCAGTCTGTGCTTTAGCTAATGGATAGACGAGAGAGACTCTGGTGAGGTCATGGAGAGAGAAGGCAACTGCGAAGATCTCTAGTATTACTTGGGACACAAAGTCCTTAGTCCAGATAATGACATCTTCTAATGTCAACTGAGCAATATTGCCTTCCACAAGGAATGTTAACAGAGTTTTGGGGTCTTCTCTCCAGAGGAAAATTGGCTTAAAGATGAGGGCCTGGGATCCCTTAGCTCCTCTCTTCAGGCTTTATAGTTGGAGGTGTCACACTGGTGTGGCAGGAACCCATACCAGCAAGTCTCATAGGACCTCATGTCCTCTGAAAGCAGCCCGAACATACTAGAACAAAAAATAACAGCCCGGACTCCAAAACCCAGCCCAGAGAAGCTGGTAGAGCTGCCTGGCTCAGTAGACCTCAAAAAAGACAAAGCGCTGGGAGGTGTCACGTCTATGTTCCTAGATGTCCCATCACTCCCAGAGCTTTAGATGTCTTAAAGACTTCATTTCTAAATATAAATTGATGGTGGTTTTATTTCAGATTTGTCACAGATGCCACCGAGTTAAATTTGTGTTGCATGGTAGTGTTTCCACCTGACTCTCGTACTTACACCCAGGAATAAAGGC